CATTACACCTCATTGATGGACCTGCATGGAGCTTCAGACGCACTTCGGTGTCGCATGTTTTCACTAACACTGGGGCCTCGGGCCAAAAAATGGTACCATTCGCTTCCCCCTCACTCGATTTGGAAGTGGCAACAATTGAGGTCGGGTTTCCGATCTCATTTTATCGGGGCCCAAGTATGCCTTATCCCGAAAGAGTCTCTTGCCAATATCACTCAAAAAGATGATGAAAGCGTTAAAGATTATATTGCCCGTTTCAATGACCGAGTTCAGAATATGGAACCGTGTCATCCCGAAACTCTGCTTGTTATGGCTATTGCTGGATTGAAGTTAAATTCGATTTTCCGCTGGACGCTATGCCAAAATAAACCGAATACTTTTCAAGAATTTCTCGCTCGGGCCCAGCAGCATATCATAGCGGAAGAAGCCATGTCGGTTCCCGATTTCAACTTTAACTCGAAGCCCTCTAAAGCGGGAACCGACGAAAAAAGGAAGAATAAATTTTTCGACAAGCAAAATAAGACTCAATTCAGGGGGCCTCCCCAGGGAGACCCCAATGATCCTGAAGTCCGAGCGGCCCGAAAACAGTACGCGACCGACGTGAAGTCTGGTTATCAAACTGTGTACTCGGCGGGAGCAGCTACTATTTATGAAGAAATCAAAGGGAAGGGCATTTTGCCAGATCCCAAGCCACTTCGAATGCCTGAAGAAAAACTGGACAAGTCCCGATATTGCGATTATCACAAATCGCCCGGGCACAACACGGACGAGTGTTTGAGTTTGTTGGCCGCATTGTTGCGTTTAATCGGCCATCCGCAGCTTAGGAAATTTTATCATAATACTGATTCCCAGAGGCGAGGTCCTGGACGTCAGATCGAATCCTTCGATGATGAAGACGACGAGGAAGACCGAGGTGCAATGACGAAACGCATCCGACAGGGAGAGAAATAAGTATTCATGTTCACCTCGGAGACTTCCGATTCTAACCCTGCTGAAATTTCTCGAGGACGTAAGTGAGATAGGACTCCTGAACCAATGCAAATCACTGTCCATCAGGTCAATACCAACAACTCCCGGAGCACATTGTCGCGCCGACAAGTCAAGGCGTATGCCCGACAAGCTCACAACTCCGGTAAACAAGTTTATACCACCGATTTGAGAGATGTTCTCAACAATCGGAATTGCCCTATAACCTTCAATATGGAGGACGCGAATCATTTCGCTCATCCTCATTCCGACGCCCTGGTAATTACTGTTCCAATATGTGGTATTCCGGTTCATCGTGTCATGGTGGACACTGGGGCCTATTCGAGTATTTTGATGCTGAAAGCTTTTGACAAGATGGGTCTTGACCCCGCCGAGATCAGACCTTGCAACGATCAAATCCAGGGGTTTAATGGCAGTATTTGAAAACCCATCGGAGAAATCACTTTGCCTGTCCGATTTGGCACCTCGGAGAATGTCACCAAACTCGTCATGGAGACTTTTAAGGTTATGGATATTAATAACGAGTACAACGCCATCATCGGCAGAACGGCATTGTACAAACTTCGGGTTGCAG